CCATGGGAATACTTTCGAAGGTATTTTCTGAACTCACCATTCGTTATGAAAATAATCCCTGGAGAAGGGGAACAAGAGGGACAAGGGACAAACATAAATCTCCAAACACAGCTAGGTGACTGGTGAGCGACCGAAAAAATCCGCCTGGTCCGGATATCGAACCCGGGACCTCTCCATTACAAGTGGAGCGCTCTACCAACTTAGCTAACCAGGGGTTAGACGTCAGTAGAGCAAACGGGTTTTATCAGCTGCCACCAGTCTAACACCAACAAGGGTGAAGCTTGCAGTTTAATGTTATAATTATAATGCAAATAAATGCAAAGGGGCAAGGTCCGCCTGGTCCGGGCAAATCCGCCCGGACCAGGCGGATTTTTTCGGTCGCTCACCAGTCACCTAGCTGTGTTTGGAGATTTATGTTTGTCCCTTGTCCCTCTTGTTCCCCTTCTCCAGGGATTATTTTCATAATTATTGTCCAGCTTGCTTGCCCCTTTGCATTTATTTGCATTATAATTATAACATTAAACTGCAAGCTTCACCCTTGTTGGTGTTAGACTGGTGGCAGCTGATAAAACCCGTTTGCTCTACTGACGTCTAACCCCTGGTTAGCTCAGTTGGTAGAGCGCTCCACTTGTAATGGAGAGGTCCCGGGTTCGATACCCGGACCAGGCGGATTTTTTCGGTCGCTCACCAGTCACCTAGCTGTGTTTGGAGATTTATGTTTGTCCCTTGTCCCTCTTGTTCCCCTTCTCCAGGGATTATTTTCATAATTATTGTCCAGCTTGCTTGCCCCTTTGCATTTATTTGCATTATAATTATAACATTAAACTGCAAGCTTCACCCTTGTTGGTGTTAGACTGGTGGCAGCTGATAAAACCCGTTTGCTCTACTGACGTCTAACCCCTGGTTAGCTCAGTTGGTAGAGCGCTCCACTTGTAATGGAGAGGTCCCGGGTTGGATACCCGGACCAGGCGGATTTTTTCGGTCGCTCATCAGTCACCTAGCTGTGTTTGGAGGCATTGAGTTCCGAGAACTCAATGCCGTCAGTATCTGGGCCGTCAGTGCTATCCGCGCATACAGGCTGCAGGGATGTGCACTGAAAAGTGAAAACGAAATAAGGCGAGAAGGACGATAGAGCCTCGATGCAAAAGGCGAGAGAAAGGGCGATGTAACCATCGTCAGATGGCAAGGCAAAAATTGTGAACGTTGCTACAGCATTTGTGGTCCACAACACACACCTCGTTGAGAGCCACTGCTATAGAGTAAGATTATACAACACGACTGACACGACTGTCTATCTTGAGAGCTTTGACTACATTTGTCTTCGGCTATGAGCGTGGCGGCAATATGGCAGGAAATGTGGGTAATCCTCTGCCACTGCTGTCAACACCAATATTCTCTCTCCTACGAACTCCCGTTCCGTCGTCCCAGGGTAGGAGACATTGTGCGGCAGCCTCAGCAGCTTCCCCACTAAGGGAAGTTGCACAGAATGTGCACTATGCTGCAAACGTTTGAACCAACAAATGGGCATGCGAAGTGGTTTGTGTTAAGCAAGCTTTTTCTGCATAGAATCTACAGGAAACCAACCAAACATTCCAACTTTGTTCCACGTATCCATGAATTCAGTTTAAGTGTGTTCAGTTTCATGGGAGTTTGTTGTAATTGATTTTCACTAGCCAGAAGTATTGTACTTTCCTAACGTTCAACCATGGGATATATTTGCAGCAACCATAACTGCGAAAATAAACAAGAATGACAAAGCACTGCAGGCCATCATCGGAAGATGATTACCGGGATGGGAGGTCGGGCGACCGTCAAGGAAAGAGGGAGGGAGGGCTCTCCCCTCCCCTCTTTCCTTCTTGACATTCCAAACAGAAAGGTGGCACCATCTCTCGTCCGGAGCACCAAACACGACCGAAAGTTATCTGCTAACCTTTTCGTCATTGCCCTCGGTGAAGATGTTCTAAATTTTTACAGGAACGAGTCAACTACATCGAGAGATTTCACAAGAATGCGTCTCCCTATACAATACACGTTCGATGAAAATGTGGGTATATGCAGGTGTCGATTTTTGCAGCGCATTTTGCATCAACGCCATGGCTCAATGACACCCAATGACTCGAATTGTTTGTCCCTTGTCCCTCTTGTTCCCCTTCTCCAGGGATTATTTTCATAATTATTGTCCAGCTTGCTTGCCCCTTTGCATTTATTTGCATTATAATTATCACCATTCGTATAGTTTGCGGGGTGCATGAACATTTACGGACTGCACACCTCGGGAAACAAATCTCGGAAACACTCCGGAGGATGTTAAAGCATTCTTCGGGATGATGATGATCATGGGGACGCCCAAGTTTCCCCGCATACGTATGTACTGGCAGCCGGCAACGCAGATCCCCAGCGTATCGGAGGCGATGGGGGTCAACAGATTTTTCAAGCTCCGGTCAGCTTTGCACGGCACGGAGACATCTTCGCCCCGGGCTCTAACTGATAAGTTTTGGAAGGTGCACCCCGTGCTGGATGCTGTCAGACAGAGGTATCTGGAACTTACTACATTCGAGAACAACAGCATTGATGAGCAGATGATCCCTTTCATAAGTAGAGTTGCGGCCAAGCGATTTCTGCAAAAACAAACCTAACCCTGGAGGTGTCAGTGTTTGTCCGCTGCAGCTCACATACTATGGCAAAGTGACTTCAAGCTGTATCAGAGAAAAGAAATGGGGAAATCGCTCGAGCACAAGCACCTCGAAATTGGTGGCTCCATTGTGATGAGGCTCATGAAACACTTGCCAAAGTTTAGGAACTTTAAGTGTTTCTTTGACAACTACTATACATTACTTCCACTACTCCGAGAACTCAATGCCGTCAGTATCTGGGCCGTCAGTGCTATCCGCGCATACAGGCTGCAGGGATGTGCACTGAAAAGTGAAAACGAAATAAGGCGAGAAGGACGATAGAGCCTCGATGCAAAAGGCGAGAGAAAGGGCGATGTAACCATCGTCAGATGGCAAGGCAAAAATTGTGAACGTTGCTACAGCATTTGTGGTCCACAACACACACCTCGTTGAGAGCCACTGCTATAGAGTAAGATTATACAACACGACTGACACGACTGTCTATCTTGAGAGCTTTGACTACATTTGTCTTCGGCTATGAGCGTGGCGGCAATATGGCAGGAAATGTGGGTAATCCTCTGCCACTGCTGTCAACACCAATATTCTCTCTCCTACGAACTCCCGTTCCGTCGTCCCAGGGTAGGAGACATTGTGCGGCAGCCTCAGCAGCTTCCCCACTAAGGGAAGTTGCACAGAATGTGCACTATGCTGCAAACGTTTGAACCAACAAATGGGCATGCGAAGTGGTTTGTGTTAAGCAAGCTTTTTCTGCATAGAATCTACAGGAAACCAACCAAACATTCCAACTTTGTTCCACGTATCCATGAATTCAGTTTAAGTGTGTTCAGTTTCATGGGAGTTTGTTGTAATTGATTTTCACTAGCCAGAAGTATTGTACTTTCCTAACGTTCAACCATGGGATATATTTGCAGCAACCATAACTGCGAAAATAAACAAGAATGACAAAGCACTGCAGGCCATCATCGGAAGATGATTACCGGGATGGGAGGTCGGGCGACCGTCAAGGAAAGAGGGAGGGAGGGCTCTCCCCTCCCCTCTTTCCTTCTTGACATTCCAAACAGAAAGGTGGCACCATCTCTCGTCCGGAGCACCAAACACGACCGAAAGTTATCTGCTAACCTTTTCGTCATTGCCCTCGGTGAAGATGTTCTAAATTTTTACAGGAACGAGTCAACTACATCGAGAGATTTCACAAGAATGCGTCTCCCTATACAATACACGTTCGATGAAAATGTGGGTATATGCAGGTGTCGATTTTTGCAGCGCATTTTGCATCAACGCCATGGCTCAATGACACCCAATGACTCGAATTGTTTCGCTATTACTCTGCTTCACTTTATACAAGCAACTTCAAACTTTTCAGGTTATTTTTGTTGTGCATCTACCTCCCGCTTACCAGGTTTCCTTTAAAACACTAAAGCCAGCGTCAGTTATCAAAATATAAATTTATGACTTTTTTTTACTTTGGTTTCTCGGCTAGTCCCCATAACACAGGCTTTCTTCAGAAACAAAAGAATAATTGCGCAGTACAATAACATAAAAAAATTAAATGCAAATGAAAGTTTCACGAAAGTATTCATTGGTTCTGAATTCGTAATTTGCATGCTAGATGTGCATGGTACAAAGCATAATGGATCCGTTTTTGTCCCTTGTACTTTTTGTATACACAGGTCTGACTAAATATCACAGTATGGGAACAGACCAATCACGACTCAAGGCGTTGTATGCCAGTCATGAGTCTGTTCTCCGTTGACAACATGGCAGCTCCTCCAGTGGCTCCTTGCTCAGAAGCACTCATCATCGAAATTGAGCGGTGTCCATGGCTATGGAACGCAAGCCGTATGGACTACAGGGACACTGGGAAGCGCAAAAATTCCTGGAAGGCAATTGGAATCGCTTTCTGTGAGTATGACCTCTTAACAGAACTATATAATTTGCGCCTCAACCCAGGGCACCTCTGGACGGCCTGCCTTCGTCGCACGCTTGTTGCCTTCTGTCTAACTTTCACTATGCATGAACGTTCCCGTTCACGGTCAGCTGCACGCGCCTGGGCGTACACTCGAAGCTCGCAAGACGCCAAAGTGTTATCAAAGATTTGTTTTGGGTCACGCCGGAGGCGATAGTGCCAATAGACTTCCCTGCCATTCGCAAAGAAACGTTTGCGAAGTTCTGCATGCCAAATCAAGGAAAGCCGTCGCATACCTCAGCGATTAATTTACATCACCTGGGATTCTTTGAACGTGAAACTGAAATCTCGGTTACCTGGCACCTTCTCTCCAGCTAGGATTCCAACCCACCAACTGGGGATTCGATTCTTTGGGCCGGCGGTTTGCCTCGGAGCCACAGATGCGGCCTCCATGCAGCTGTCTGTGACCATTCACGTCCGAGTGGGCAGCGCACACCCACCCACAACCCACTGCTCGCACCTCTCGTTTGCGTACCTCGCATAACCATTTCCCAAAGTCATGGCACGAAATGGGAAGCCATTATTAATCGAGCGATCAGTAATGAAGAGATCAAACAGGCAGAACATAAAAAGACTACATTTCAAGATGCTGAAGGAGGTTTGTAAAGTTTGGGTTGAATACTGGCAAGCAAACCTGGTGCATGTCTGTTGCACCTATTGGCTGTCCTAATTGAAGTTGTGTTATAAATCTAGTTCCATCATGATTTCTGTTCTAAAACTTGTATTCATAAGCGATACTTTAGTTATTTATGCCACATTTACTTCATTCACTTCAGGCAGCGACTCTAACGCCTGCTGTCAGGCTTGGCTGGCCATGAGGGCCAAGTATGCGAGAGAATCGAAGAAACAAAGAGGCCGGAGCGGAGCTGGCCGCGATGGTCTTGCCGTGCCAACATGGCACCTCTTCAAGTAACTGGCCTTCCTTAAGGGCCAGATTCAGCACCGACGGTAATATGCTAGATCACTTACTGCTAAGAACAAGCACAGTTGATATCGGGTCTGAGTTTAAAACATTTTTACTCTCTTCCATCAGCACCAAAGTGCTCCCTGTTGCGGGGGGAGTGGCGTCCACTTCTGCAGCGGCAGCAGACGTTGAAAAATGAGGCGTGAGCCCAGAGGCAAGTTTGCTTACACGGTAAGAAAATCTAGAACCGATTTGGGATCACCTGCTTTCTCCTACAGAGTCTTGTGGTAAAGTAAAATGAAGGTCAAGGACATTGTGAAAGAATGCCTGACTGTTGTTACGAAAGGAAGCATCTTGATTCCTCCCACACACTAAGCTAGATGCCATGTTGACAGATGTTTGCCCCACGTTATTCTATGTGCGGAGGAAGTGTTCTCGAGGTCACTTGATTTCTTTCGCGTCAAGATTTACCTCATGTGCTCCAGCCATCGGCGACAAAAAAGAATAGCGTCTGAAACTCACTTTTTATTTCATTTTCGTAGCTACCGGTCTTTATTCGGAGTGCAGACAAGCTGGCTAAGTTGACGTCAACCAGTTGGTGGCCAAAATTACCTTCAGGGCTCCTATTTTGGTCATGGGTGAGAGCGAGATCATTCTCGGCTGTTGACTATTATCGTTCATTATCAACTAACGAAACAAAATTAAATCCGTTTTGCAGTCTACGGTCAGGCAATATTTCAGTGACAACTTCTTGCCAACACACAAATGAGAAGAGAGGTGGCTTCTGACGTGCCTGTCCCATATCGCCCATCTACTGGTCAATATTGGGATTTGTATGGCTGCAAAACAATTTGAGATTTGCTAAGGAACCACAAGTTTGGCAATTGCTTCCAATGTCGAATTGCAAACGGTAGTTTCAGCCAGGAACGGATTCAGAGGGGAGGTCCGGATGTCCTGACCCCCCTCTTGATTTCTGCATGTGTAAAAATTTAGGGCGTGTGCATGTGTAAAACTTTCCCTTACCGCCTTATCTTTATGTTTTCTAATAACAGTGCACAAATTAAATTCAGGTTTGCACCCACAGTCAAGGCAGTGCATTGACAAATGATCGTCAAGCTGTCCGCTCACTTTTTGGTTGTGTTCGCGCAATCTGTCATTTAGACATCTTCCCGTCTGTCCCACATACTTTTTACCGCACGTCAGCGAGATCTGATGGACGACTCTCGCTGGGCATTCTACAAACAAGCTGCGATGCTTCTTCACGCAGCCAACCGGTGGTTTGCGGTGAGGGTCCGTCATTTTGCACAACTTGGCAAGTTTTTCCGGTGCAGAAAGAACCACCCAAGCATTTACGTGGTTTGCTATCTTTTTGATATTGCGTGCGGTTTTGTGCATGTAAGGCACAACCGCCAGACTTTGTTTCTTTTGAGCCACATCTTGGTCTGGACTCGCTACTACTCGTAGCTTCTTTACAACTTTTTCTGCAGCCGACACCAGGAGCGTCCCTAGAAAACCGGCAGCCACCAAGCGTTCTGACTGCTCCTTCAGACTTTAAGGCATTGCATGATGACACAACCTTCTGATGGAGTTCACAAAGCACAAATTTACAATTCCTCTCTTAACAAGTTTCAAATGAGATGAATTGAACGGCAACAGGGGCTTATCTGCTCTTGGTTGGTATTTCCAACACACGTGTTGTTCCAAAAGTGTGAGCCTGATATCTAGAAACTGTATGACGTTGTCCACAAGTACCTCGTGCGTAAGCTTGAGAGGATCAAGGATGGTACTAAAAACTGTTAAAAGGCTGTTCGCCACCAAGGAAAAGTGAGAAACATCATGGTGAAGAAAAACTAAATAATTGTCGACGAATCTAAAAACCTTGCTACCATTAAAGTCATTCAGGCATTCCGAGAGAACTCTGTCATGATGGGCTAAAAATATATCATGTAAAACTGGAGCTAAACACTAGCAAATACACACCCCTCGCTTCTGAATATACACTCCCCTGTTCCACTCAACAAAGGTCGAGTTTAGATCAAATGTAAGCAATTCGAGAAAGTCATCTACAGTCATTCCTGCTGCGTTCTGAAAGGCCACCACCCCGTGTTTATCGATGCTTTCCTCTACGCAGGTCAGTAGTTTGTCGTGCGGAAGGGAATAGTATAAATTCTTTATGTCTAGTGAGCAGGCTAGAAAACGTGACGGTCATTTGTCGATGCACTTCCATGACTGTGGGTGCAAACCTGAATTTAATTTGTGCACTGTTATTAGAAAACAGAGATAATACAGTAAGCAAAATTATAGAGGCAGACCTGATAAAAAAACTACGGAGATCGATGTGTCAGCGTGGCGTCGATCGATTTGGGCGACAAAGAGACACAGTTCTTGAGATCAGTGGCGTGGCATGGGATTGGTTGAAGGGCGCGATGATGCAGAGTATTTATACCCTTGATTTTCTAACGAACCAGTTGAAGTTGGTGCATTGTGTTGTCTCATTCCTACTCTTCGTCCCAGTCGTGAAGCGCTATTATGTTCTCCAAGTTTCAGTACCAACTCGCCCAAGAATCCGCATTACTCAACTCCTTTTCTTTTAAATAAAATCTTCAGTTGAGAGTAATCGCTTGTCCTGTGTACACCCTTCTACTCCATCTTCGTTTCTTGTGCGCTGTGTCCCAATCCGCTAAATATAATCCAATTTATATGAAATAAATCTTATTTAAATAAAATAAACCTAAATTACATCAAGTAAAATTTTTTTAACAAAAAAGCTACCTTTTTTTTTTGCAGTCAAGTAAGCACGGAAATAATGACATCTCTCCATGCACCACAAATTACAAATGGGACCTAGTTAATAAACAGTCCTGTAATTCTTTACTACAGACTATCCAGAAAAGCGGTTGCATTGTGTGACCCTCGTGCGTGAATAGAAATGTGTTTTACACATATCTATTTGTTTCGGCCAAAATTACGTTAATGGCTCAGGTATTTTTTATATTCTTTTGCAAAAAATAGTGCTTTGAAGCAAGCATAATTTTTATACATTTTGACTCAAGACTGGGAAGGGATGGAAAAACACAAGGTCTTGTGTTTGTCCATCCATTCTCTTCCCAGTCTCGAGATGTTTACCGTAGAATACCATGCATCCGCCCATTTCACATTAAGCGCCCATTACCGAATTTGCAAGATCTGAGAAAATATGCGCACATTTATATGTAAAATTGATGACTGGACAAGCACTCATCCACCATTTTTTTGCGATTATCTCCAAAATTTGATTGGGCGCTTGCCCGGTATTTTACGGTAGTCAAAATGTTAAACCAACACCAGCTCGTTTGCACCCTTACCTTTTGTTCAATAACTTTTATTGTGTATTAATTATAAACGTGGAAGTTCCGTTATGAACCCTGTTTTGACAGATTTTTAGAAAACTAATTCATACGCTCCTAAACCATAGTATGCATTTTGGAGGGATGTGGCCATGAAGTAATTGAACGTGTCTTTATATTATTAAAGTCGTAACCAATGACGCTATTTAGTCGCTGCTGAAGGTTTTTTGGATAGTTGTATTACACTCAACACAAACAGGCTCATTTTGTTCGTAGGCCACTAATTTGCTGTTGGAAATTATAGTATTAAAAAACTTCAATATGCCAATCTGCACCGATGACTTTTTGCAGCATCCTATGCGATATTCAGTTACAATATTTTGGAGTACTTACAGTTTTATGTCGTCACCCATATCCTTTTCCAGTTTCATACTAGTTGCGACTTCACAAAAGTGAAGTCAAAGAAAAATTGCACTTTTGAATGTTGTTTAAATTTTACTAGCGCATGAGTGGAAGGCAGTAAAAGAGTTACAATGATATACGTAAAACTCTCCCATTACCTCGCAACTTTTCGCTTTCCCCCGTTAGTCGGGCCACTAACAACCGAGTACACTTTTTTGACACTCACCTGCCGGGTTCTGACTCATGAGCCCTACTTCGTTTGGACGGGGCCGTACTTGAATCACATCTCTGAATTCGTGTCAAATAAAACTATTATTACTATGTCCGTGCCTGCCGACAATATCGAGGAACTCGCCAATTCTGCAGTGTTGCCAAAACCTTGCCTCAAAGCTTTAAGAGGCAGCCAAAGGAACGACCTCCTGCACGTCTCGGAAGGAGCCCCCATGTCCAGTGAAAAGAGATGGGTCACGTCGATTTATTTTATCAGAACATCCGTGGCTAACGTACAAAAATTGAACGCTTTTGTACGGACGTGGAGTCCGGCGCCGCAATTGGCGGCAACATCCCGCAGAGCCCTCGAGCTCCGAATCACTACAGCTGCCGACTCCAGTCCCTGGCACATGGACGACGGCGACACAGCGACACAGGACCAACTTTGGAGCCGCTGGTGCATTGGCGGCAAAGTGATAGCCTCCTCCTTGGCTACACCACTGGATGCAAGGGAGGTGGCACGTGCACCTACCATAATGACGAGATGTTTCAGTGACATACTCTTAAGTTGCGATCACACTGCTAATCCCGATTGGTCAAGAGACGGTCTTCAGGGACACTGTCTGAGGCTTTTCCTTCCATGATGGTCATATTGGTCACTCAAGAACTGACTGCAGACATGTTCGAAGCCCACACATTTATCGAACGAACATCCTTCGAAGATGCTCGAGACGTTTCCGCAGGTACTTCCGTAGTGAACATTGCGCTTTTGTAGGATGCACGAGCAGGTCGACTTTGCGATTCCAACCCGTAAAGTCAATGCTGTTTATTCCTTCGTAACGTTTGATTGTAATTATTGTCATTTGTTCGTACCATCCTGATGAGGTTCCCGGTTTCAGGCTTGGAGGTGATCGAATGTCACAGAATGTGGAAGGCCATCCGCAACCGCTATGTTAAGAGACGAGAGCGGCGAAAGGCAAGAGTAAAGCTGGCGAGGAGGATGTCCAGCCTCCCACGTGGGTTCTTTTCAAGTTCCTGGGGTTCCCCGATGGTCAAATCTGTGCAGATGGTAGGCACAGAATGTTTTGGACAACAAAGGGCACTGCAGATTGTGCCGTATTTTGTATGCATTGTAACGATGACGTGGCAGAACCCTGGTTTGTCCCAAGACAAAAGGAGCCTCACACAACACCATGTCTACAAACTGGAGTGAAGGAGCCCCCACTTCCGTGCCAGGAGGCAGGTGTTCATAAAGAGTGCAGCTTTCCAGACAGACTCTAATGCCCGAGTCACGGCAAAGCGACTAACGGAAACAACCGACACCGTCGCGCCTCAAACACGAGCACCATGCACGCGAGGGTATCTTTGGCCGGCCATTTATCAGACAGATAATCACGTATTCAGTCACATAATCACGTACCACAATGTTCACTTTCGTATTGGCCAAGCGCCGTGCTGTCTCGTGTCACCGCAAGCTTGAGCCAAGCTGCTGCTGATGCGATCGTTGCAAGATGGAGAAACAGAAGCGATTTCATTACGAGGCATCATTCAAACAGAAAGTGATCATCCTTGCTGGAAAGGAAGGTAATCAAGCAGCGTCATGATCACTGGGCATCCCGGAAACGTGCGTGCAGGATTGGCGCAACTACCCGCCTCTTCGGACGTCATCAAGGCCAATTCTTTCGCACTTGCTACAGGTTACAAGATCCGCCGCTCTTGATTCCAAGCGAGTAGGAGCTGGATCACCAAGTTCATGCGGCAAAAAGGATTTTCGCTGCAACGAAAGGCGAGCATTTGTCAGAAGCTCCAGAAACCTTATGAAGCGAAGTTTGTCATGTTCCAATGTTTTATGATCAAGCTTCGACAATATAGGGGCCACATGATAGGACAGATCCGAAACGCAGACCTAACACCCATGTTTTTCGACATGCCTTCGAATTACACGGTCGAACAAGAGGAGCCAAGCAGGTAACAAAAAAACTGATTACGGCGACGTTAGGATGCATGGCAGATGGGCGCAAGATGAACCCTTTTTTGATTTCTGAAAGGAAGACTTTGCCTACCAATGTTAAGTTCCCAGAAAATGTCATTGTTCAGATGCACCCCAAAAGATGGATGGACACCGACCTTAAGATCGACTGGATTGACGCCGTACGGCGAAAGAGGGCTGGAGCCGACTTGAGAGTGCTTTCTATGCTGGTTCTAGACTTGTTCAGATGCCACATCAGCCAGCGTGTCAAGGACAAACTTGCAAAATGCTCCCCCACATTGGTGATCATCCCCGGCGGGACGACGTCTCAACTGCAGCCACTGGACGTGTGCTTAAACAAACCAACGAAGGACTATGTGCGTGCAGCGTACAACGAGTGGCTCACTGCATACGAGCACACACTGACGCCAGCAGGGCGTCTGAAGAAAGCAACGCTCGACGACCTGGGCCCGTTTGCTCGAAGCCGGTTAACTCTAACCGCGGTTAAAAGTTAACCGACCTTCCCTACTAGGTACCTACAAGTACCTAGCCAAGTTTGAAGAGGGCTGGATGAGCGATAGCTCCGTGTTTTATTATGGGGCGGTGGCTGGTGTCACCTACTGGCTGTAGTGAATATAAGAGGCTTCTGTGGAAAGGTTCCCGAAATGGGGGGACCCAAAAAATGCGCGCTGCCTGGTTTTCGCGACGCAGCGTGGCATACATTTGAGCTTAAGAAACCATTTTTATTGCTCGCGGTACAAATAATTGGCAAGGTAAAACTAAATTAACCCTTGTTTGGAAATTTTCTAAATATTTGGCTGTATGAAGTGCAGAAAAGCCTCGTTGAAATTTCCTTCCGACTTCGAAAGAGGACGACGAAGTTGAGTCCTAAAAACGATGAGAAAGAAGTGAGCAGTGAAAGGCGGGCGGTACACCGGCAGCATGGTTGGCCAGCATGTAAGAACTCAAATTGAAAAACCTGTAACTTGGCTCCACTGAAAATTGACCTATTAAATTACCCGAACATCGAGAAGAACGCTGGAAGTGTAATTCTATGATCCGCGCGCGCTGGCCTTTCACTTATAAAAGATTTGAAGTAAATAATCATAATAAATCGTTGACGAACGCCCGTGCACGGCAACATTTGTTTTAGGCTTTTTGCTTCAGAACAGTTATTACTGCAGACGCCAGCAGGTTCAGCGCGTGTAACTACACTCGTAGCATGCACCTCGGTGCTTTTGAAATTTAGCAAGAGGTCTATGGGAACGCTCCATGCTTCTGTGTGCTATCAATACCCGGCCGATTGAGTCAAGGCAATCCACTTTCCAAAAACGTTGCCATGCCGACAACTATCGCGTTCATTTAGGCTTAGGAATGGTCAGAGTCGAAAGTCTATCTAAAAAATGCGGCGAGGTCATTGCTCATGTTTTGCGTTTTAAGTGAGGTAATGCAGCGCGAAAACCTCCTGCACCATTCATTGCTGAATAACGCGCCCGCTACTGCAGCTACTGCGACGTATTAGTTCCAAAGCGAGCGGAGCTCACTCACCGGGGCACCGCCATGTTTCCCCGCCGTCCTTACTCTGCCGGTCACGTGACCCAAAATTCCCCGTCGTAGGGAAATCCGGTTAACCGCGGTTAGTTAACCAGCTTCGAGCAAACGGGCCCTGGAGCAATGGGTACACGACGCCTGGAAAGCACTCCTGCGGGCGATGGTCGTACGTTCCTTTCAAAAGTGTGACCTTTTCAACGCCATTGACGGAACCGAGGGCGAGATTTTGAAACTTACGTCGGACTCCGACGGCGACTAGTGTGGCTGTTTTGTTAGTGCGTGTGGGTGGGTTTCATGTGTGTCTTTCACGGATGTGGTGTTCAGCACTCATTATTTTACCTGTGCGGTACAATCGGCATCAAATTATTCTTAAAACTATTCAGAGCTAAATTTACCTGCACGTTACAGTCGGGGGCGTGCTAGAATCGTGCAAACACGGTACATGCCAATGAAGCCAAAAATAAAGCGGGACTTCAAAGTCTGGTGCCTGACGGACTCAAATGCTAGCTACCTTGTAGGTTTCAGTTGTACCAAGGAGAAAACTAAGATCGTCCAAAAAACAGAACTCTCTGGGAGCATATTGTGCTGTCTGTCTGAAGGAATTGTACCCCCTGGTAGTCAGCGTTTTTTTTTTTGTTTTTTTGTTTTTTTTAGTTATACAAGTTTGCTTTAGCAGCTACGTGACGGCACAGACCTACCCAATGAGGTCAAGGTTGACAAGATGAACAAAGGTGGCTACATCTGGCACAAGAAAAATGATGTCACGGCCTACCAATGGCGGGACAGTAAGAATGTTTGCCTAAATCCAACCACCACGAACCAGACGGAGGAGCAGGTGGATGTAGAGAGGATGACGGCAACTCGACAAAAACTACCCGTGAAGTATCCCATTGTTGTGGAAGACTACAATGCGTGGATAGGGGAAGTATATCGTTTTGATCAAAAGCATAACGCTTACCCTCTAGAGCAGGGGTGGCCAGGTTGACCCGGCCTAAGAGCCGCAAACAAAACCACGAAACTTTCAAGAGCCGCATGGAAGAAGAAAGGAAACAAAGGGAGGGAGGGGGGGGGGGACTTTTGTCCACAGCAAAAAAACGAAATTCAAACTATTTTCTATCTATCCAAGTCAAAAGCAGTCCAACTGTACGAGTAAGGTAGCAGTAGCACAAGACTACCAAATGGCTACCTGTCTCGATTTAAAACGCGTTCCATTTCTCTTTTTGGGGAAGTGCTCGTGTGACCGGGAGGGAGGCGGGGAAGTGTGTTTGTGTGTGTGTGGGGGGGGGGGGCAGTGGAGGAAAGCCGCGAGCCGCGCTTTAACAGGCGAAGAGCCGCATGCGGCTCGTGAGCGGCAGCTTGGCCACCCCTGCTCTAGAGAGAAGGTCGAAGAGGTGGTGGAGCCGCACTTCTACTTCATCCGAGATGCGGCTATTGTCAACGCCATCATTCAGCACAGCTCCGGGGAAAGCAGTTTGTACCTGCAGTTTCATGTCCTTCTGGGGTGACATTTCATCAAGCGCAAGATTTTTTGGTAAAGCAGGCGCAGCCATTTCCTCCCCAATCGAGGAAAGAAAGATGGGCACACGATGACAGTGCATCTGGAGGTGTGCGATACAATCAAATGACCCACTCCAGGCATAGGTGCGCTGAAGACAACCGTGAACTACCATGCGCACACACCACAAAGTGCGACGTTGGCACGTGCGTAGAATGTTTCATGCCCTATTGTAACAATTTCCAACTGTTCTAACTGTGCCTAACTGCGTCTAAATACCCAACAGTGGCAAACTGCCCGCTAAAGTGATTTTTTTTTCTATTTTCGAGGTTGAAATAAAATATCCTCACTTCACACATCTTTGTTTACCCCAAGGGGCCAGCGTCACCATATGTCAGAGGCCATATTTCAAAAACTAAGAGCATGCAATGGGTGATTTCTTCTGTATCCGTGATTTAGGTGAAACAATTTTTAAAATATAAACGCAGCTCCACTGAAATAAAAAGAAACCAGTCTCTGATGGGTTAACACTTGAACTTGAGAGCTCTAGCTTATTTCCCCGGTCTTGTAATATTGTGGTCCTTTTTTTGACTGGATACCGTAACATACCGAGCACGCATCAATGTCGTAACAAGTGCCCACCCCGTTTGAAACACTTGAAATATAAGCAAAGGCAATATCGAGTGCCCCCTACTCCCAGAAAACTACCCATGCGTCAGCCGCTTCTCTGAGAAATTGGTACTGTGCGACCAAGCTCGACATGTGAGCGCCAGCACAAAGCTTGCTTGACAAAGCAGCACAGCTGCTTTAGAACTTGGGGCTTCCACCAGACTCCTATACAGGTCCTACACCATTCGACCGGATCAAAACAGAAACCACCCTACAAAGTGACCCTTCGGCTTTTCTGCTCTTAGTCCCAACAAGTTTCTATCCCCATTGTTCATAGCTACCTAGAACTTTTGCATGGTCATACACTCTGCATCTTATAGTACAGTTGCGTGCATAAACTTGTCTTTTCCTTCTCTTATAATCAGACATTTTTAACTATATGTCTGTGTCTTGGTTCTTTTTATACACTCCGCAAGCCACGAACAACATTGCAAGAAAGACCTGGACATCAACTCGCAAGATGATGAAACGGGATTCGTGAAGCGGCTATCTTGCCCAGGATGTCTCAAAAACCGAGTCTTTGAGAGAATGCCGCGGCTATGTCTTCTCTTGAGAGCAGTCTGGACGAAGGAAACAGCTGCATCACTCACCTTGCAGACATGCAGCTAGCCTCCTCCTCCGCAGTACAGTCTCACCTCCTTCCGGACCTTGTCAGTAGGAATAGCAGATGCCATTCCCTCAGT